AAGCCGTGCAGTACTCGATCGGATATACCTACCCACTTATATGACACCCATGATACCACCGTACAGTACATACCCGCCCCGCCCCGCCCCGCACCAACTCTGAAACGCACGCCCGCAGCACGCCCACAAGTAACTGTACTGTACTGCACAAGACGGTTCAGAGCCCAACCGCGTGTCATAGATCACGGAACACTCTTCTCCAACGGGCGCGACGAAAGCCGGCGGATTGACGAAGCGGAGAGCGTTTTTCGGGCAAAAACGTGAGATCCGTCAAAGCAGGCCAACAAAAATAAAATAAAATAAATACCTGTTCATCATCCGTCCGCTTCCGCCGCGCCCCCGTTGAAAGGTTGTAAAAAAAAGTTCCATGACGTATTTATCCATTGGCCGTACCGCACAGTTTCACACCAAAAACGATGTCTTTTCCCACTTTCACGACGCAACCAGGGAAATTATCCATCGCCAGTTGTCTGTCCCTCTCCGTGAAACATTCAATTGAGCTATGCATCGTGGCGGGCATTTCGGGATTTGGGAAAGAATAAGTTGGGGTTTCGGAGGCGGTGTGGGCCTCTCAACCGGGAGTTTTTTTGCCCTTTTTTGTTTGCACATTCTGCGCGGCGCTTAGATTGGCCTTCTCCGGCCCCCCTGGCTCCATGCGAGCGATTCGTAGCAGGAGATCTCTAGGTCCACCAAATGGTACGTGAGCAAGTGAAATACCGATCCCCTAACACAGGTCCCCGGCTACCGGCCACTTCGAATGCGCGAGTACCATACCTGAGGAGATGTCTCCGCACAGAGAGGGCGAACAATTTTGCTGGTTATCTATCTATCTATCACTGTCTTGCCCGAAAATGTTCTCCTCGGTTACCGCTTTGTATAATTTAGTGGAAACTCCTGAGGGGTTCCCGCGGTAAACTCGGGTCGTTCACGTTGGTTCCTTTTCTTTTTCCCCCATCTTGGTATCATATGATAGAGCTCTGCTTTGCTGAGACGAGGGTATGGGCGGAGGGGAATTGTGGAGGGGAAGCGCGCAACCCGGATTCTTTTAATAGGCAGAAGGTAGTCCAACAAAGACTGTTTTGGGGTTTAGAACCACAAATGGATTCGATATTTGCACGCAAGCCACTCTGTGGCCAGGGGGGTTACATCGCTTTTAGCAACATACCACACAATCGGCGGCGAACGGTGGCTTGTGCCCAAATATAGATGGCACTATTAGAGTACTTGGTTCGATTATTTGAAGTATTACAGTAACAGTACGATACTCGTACATGTGCCATGTCGTTCCAGTTGCCCCCTCTGGTAAGGTCTGGTAGAATTTTTCTTTTCTTTTTTCAAGCCCTCCGGAGGGGCTATCCTAAACGACTCGCCTCTTTGCCACTCCCTTCGCCCCCTTTTCCAGAAGGAATCTTCCGACTAGAACTATTACAGGTCCCTAGCGCATGGTTCAATTGCTTGGAGATTCCGTTAGCGCGGCCAGGTCTAGGTCGCGCACGGTTGGTCGCCCTGGTCGTCTGTCAGTTAAACCAGAGAGCAAAGATACCCAGTATCCTTTTACATGATTGGGCACTGATCGATTTCCGTATCTGGGCAACTCGACCACAAAAGTACCGTGCGCGAGCACTTGTACGGCAGTCTACCGTGGGACGGGTACTCGTACTGCACTCGGGCACTGTGCGATAGATGGCCGACGGGTACATTATGACCAGTTGCGTTGGCAACTTTCCTGTTGTTGAAGCCGGATCGGCAGACAAGGATACCGGTAATATAAAATATTGGATCGGGCGCCGCCGGTACTGTGTCTCTGTATCGTATTTATAGACCCTGACGGGCCATAACGATCAGGGAGGGAGAAGGCTCCCCCCCAACACCTAACCGCAGCGGTTTCCCCCTAGTCCTGTGGCAAAGGGTTTTCACCACACTGCATCCGCGCCAAGCCGGGGGGCGTTTACGTCAGATATGAGCAGGTTACTGTTGGAGGTGATTGGCAGAGTTCGTGGCGAGTTGGGGGGTTGAACTGGGGTGTCGCTATATTTAGCTGATATCATTATCACATCCAAGTTGGTAGGGATTGACCGCGTAGGGTAGGGTATCGTGGGCATGGGGTGTCACTCGGTTTGTGATTGGGCGGGGATGGATGGGAAGCGAAGCGGAGGTGGGAGGGAGAAGAGAAGAGATCTTATGAGTGGCGGTATATATACTGTGCTCGGGTCTCAGTAAGGATCGGGAAGCCATTCGCGCTGATCCCGTGTAAACCCCTACCCCTTCGATCGCTGATTTGACAAGCGAACGAAAGAACGGAAGGATCGGAGGATCGAAGGGTATGAGCATTAGTCAGTTGGAGCGCCCCTCTTGATGGCAGTGTACTCGAGTGCTGGTACTGTACGCTTCTCTATTTTGCGAACCCTCGCGAGTGGTCCGCTTTTGGGTTGAACGTGCCATTGGTGCGACCAACGGCCGTCACGGCCTTTGTCAGAGGGGGTGAATGTGAAGGTGAGTGCTGAGTGTAGTCTAGTCGTAGGCGGGAATTCGTTCACACTTCAGCTAGATCGAAGCTTGATCGTTGCTACGTGCAACGCGTTCCCGGAGTAAGCAAGTGCTGTCGATTAGCATGCTTATATACCTGAATGACAGGCTCTGGGCCACCGCACACACGGACACGGGAAAAACTAGGGCTCTGACATATCAGTGTGTAGTAATATTTCTTTCTTACCATCTCTCTCTTACCCGCTTGCGCTGCAAATAACAAGACTTTTCAATACTGTACCCTTGCGCTACTCGAGTAAGAAATGGGAAAGGAGGGGGGGATGAGGATTGGAGGGAAGAGAAACGGGTATGATTTTCACGTTTTTTTGGCTGATTAGTGCAGATCTTATGCGTAGACTATCATAAGTATGATGCTCCCATATGATATGCATAATACCGGTATGAAAGAGCTTGGGTACTGTATGGTCGGTGGTGGAAAGCGGCACTATTGGACAGACAATCAGACTGACCACCAGATTACTGCATTTCGGGCCCGGTATGGCCTACGATGTTGGGTTGTAGTGCTTATTAAGCTGAGTTTGGAGGTGCGAATCAGGCGAGCGGGACATTGCATGGCGTCCCCCCCCTCTTTTTTCTCCTCCCGATTGCACTTCGTGTGCTCGAGTGGAGTAGCCTTAGATAGGAGATGTGGGAGATTTAATCGGATGTTGTGGTGGTCCGCTGCAGATTTTGAGTTGGACTTGCATGAGTCCGGGTCTGGCATGCGGATAATATCTACGAGTGCTTGCAGTGCATGCCGTACCGCAGACTACAGTTCTTGGTGTAGTGCAAGTTTCATAGGCGGAGGTAGGTACCTTGAGTTTGCGATGATACGGCAGCTGGATGGAAGGGAAAAGGGGAGTGGAGGAGAAGGATGCTCGTGGTTCGGTTAGCATTGTGGACCACATAATTGTTGCTTGGATTTTAATTTCTACTCGTGCCCTCCCCTACTTGCTGAGTCCTCTCCGCGTTCTCGCTTACTCCATTTTGGATGGATAGTTGGATATCATTTCATGTCATGGAATACCGGTATCGGGTTGAGCACCGGCGTGCCTTCTCTCTTCAAGAAACTCAACCCGACAATCATTTTGAGAGTCTTGCCAGCCAGCAGCGCAGAGATGCTTTACATAAAATTTTGCAACAAGTACCATTGTCAGGGGTGGGGTTGCCTTATCCTAATCTGCATCACTACAAGTACTATGTACTAGTACAGTATGGTATCATACATAGGGTATAGCAACTATTGGACTAAACCGCATTAAAGCGACTTGGGGGCACACAGGAGGAGCCCGTTTCATGCTGAGCAACAATTTCTCCGTGTACAGTACAGTACAGTACGTGTAGACTAGTTGCTCAAGCCTTGGTTGGATCACTTTCGCTTCCGGAACAAAGGGGAGCTTTCGCCATTTGAGCGTGAGAAAGTGTGTCCAGAGAGGGCACATATGATACGGTGAGTATTTTCGAGCAATGGAGATTTTTCCTTCTACCATCGTTTCGCTAACCGGTGCTTGACGTCCACTTCAAAGGCTCGGCTCGCCGGTCGATCGGCGTGGCTGAAACGGAGAAAAGTTCTTGGCGGCGGGGATTGCCCACACCGTTATCGAGCTACTATATCAATCACCCTCGCGCATAAGAGACCAATCCCTAATATTTGATGGCGGGTGATGGGCTCACGAGGCGGGAGCGGGAATATGGCTACATTATTATGTTATTCCAGTGAATGACTTGAGCCGTGATAAAATTTTGGAGCACTGAAGCCGTTCACTGATTAAGATGGGAGGGGAGAGAGAGAGAAGAGAGGGAAGTGAGCGGTTGACACGCGTCATCGGGTGCAAGGATCTGTTGCAGGGAATTGGTTCACGTTTTTCGACAGGTTGGAGGGGATCTTTTTTTTCTTTTCTGGTGTTGCTTGCTTGCACACCGACATTGGGTAAAAATAGAAAGAGGAAGGAGCAACAGGAGAAGGAGGAGGGATTCGAGGGAAAAGAAGGGCAAGCTGGCGCTGGTAGGCTAGTCTAGGTGGGCTTTGCTGCTTGCTGCCACTTGCTCGGCTCAATAGAATAATGAATGTGGTGATATTTCCCCCACAGCTTTTTGCGTGTGTTATCGCATGTTGAATTCTATAGGTGCGTGGTTTTGTCCCGATAGCTTTTGTTTTTTTCTCTTCTGCTTTCTATTGTGCGGGACAGTACTGGTACCGTACTCGTACACTGCGAAGCCCTTTCAACTATTATTCTCCTCTCCCTTCCCCCCTCCCCTCCTCAACCCTCTCCTCCGCTTCATCCTGCTCCGCAATCCCCGTTCGCTCAGCCGTATTCACTGAATGTACGGTAATCATCTCCGCACATTCCCTTGTTAACTTTCTGAGCCTTGCTCTCTCCGGAACAGTTCGAAAATAATTCGCAGACCCCTAACCACACCTTTACTTTTATTTACTGCACCCCCCAAACCCTTATCTTCCCCCTCTTCCCACCCCCTCTCGTTACCAAAATTTGCACCGGGCCACACCAACACACTGGACCCTCCGAGCTAAAAATCTTCGCCCTAACTGATATATCGCCCGGTCCTCAGCCATAACATTTTGCCTGTTCTTCACCGGGAGAGGCTAAGAGATAGAAAGAAAAGGGTTCGACGACGCACACCCTTAGCAAACACACTCCAAGAGTCACCGCATCTTGCACATCGAAACAATGGCATATCAAGGTCCTCCGCCAGGGGGCTTCCAACCGGAACGGCACGACCTTCAGGACTATCCACCAGTAGTTCAGGACGACATAGCGGATCACGAACGAGTCCCGTTGACGGGTGGAATGCAAGAAGGTCCATTCCTTGGCCCGTTTGACGAATCTTCCTCGCGAGAATCTACACCCGACGGATTCCGCCACAGAAAGGACCTTTCTGGGCCCTATTATTCTGAACTGCAGTCTCCAAACCCTTCCACTCCCTCGCTCACAGTCCTGTCGGCCTCGGGCGCCGCTAGGCCCGCTAGTGTGGTTTCTATGGATGAGTGGAGGAGACGACAGGCTCCCCAGGGGCTCAGGAGATATGCTACGAGGAAGGTGAAGTTGCAGCATGGGCAGGTGCTCTCTATCGACTATCCTGTGCCCTCAGCTGTGCAGAACGCAATACAGGCGAAATACAAATCTACGGATGCTGATGCCGCCGCTAATGAATTTACTCACATGAGATGTTTGTTTTCCCCCACCTCACTTTTTTTCTCTTTTTCCTTTCCTTTCCTTTCCTTTCCTTTTTTTTTTTTTGCTTTTTTCATTCTCTCTCCTATTCCTCACTTGACCTTTGCTACGGGACTTTATGGCAGTTGGCTCCGAGACAGTTACTAATTTGGGTACCGCACACAGACACTGCGGCAACATGTGATCCTGATGACTATACGCTCAAGAATGGATACGATCTGAGACCACGGATGTATAATCGACACACAGAGCTACTGATAGCCATCACTTACTACAACGAAGACAAAGTGCTCACGGCAAGAACTCTTCACGGGGTGATGCAAAATGTCCGTGACATTGTTAACCTGAAAAAATCGGAGTTCTGGTGGAAGGGGGGGCCGGCTTGGCAGAAAATTGTTGTCTGCTTGGTTTTCGACGGTATCGATCCCTGCGACAAGAACACCCTCGATGTATTGGCCACTGTGGGCGTGTTTCAGGATGGTGTTATGAAGAAGGATGTTGATGGCAAAGAGACCACGGCTCATATCGTAAGTTTGTTTTTGTTTTTGTTTATCTCCGTGGCGTTTGTTTATTTGCGAGGGAACGGGTGTGGGTCGTCGTCACACCATATTGGCGGCGAGTTATCCGATGGTGTGTGCGGTAATGCAAGCCTCCCGTGTTCACCCAACCGAGAATGGGCCGGGTTGTCTGTTTTACGGTGTCTTACCGGGTTTTCGATTCTTCCAGCCCGGTACGGGCTGAGAAGGGGGCAAAATACACTTTTAATTTTCTCGCTCGGATATACATTATTTCTTTCTGGATTGAATGGGAGTTTCTCCGGCTAATTATATTATTTTTTGATGGATAGTTTGAATACACCACCCAGCTGTCGGTGACTTCTCACCAGCACCTTGTCAGGCCTACCGACGATGCGGATAGCTCCGCTTTTCCACCGGTACAGGTAATGTTCTGTCTTAAGCAACGGAATTCTAAAAAGATCAACTCCCATCGATGGCTGTTTAATGCGTTCGGAAGGATTCTGAATCCGGAAGTTTGCGTGCTTATTGACGCCGGTACTAAGCCTGGTCCCAAGAGTATCCTTGCTCTTTGGGAAGCCTTCTACAACGACAATAGCCTCGGTGGCGCCTGCGGTGAGATCCACGCCATGTTGGGTAAGGGGGGGCGAAACCTCCTCAACCCCCTTGTTGCGGCACAGAATTTTGAGTACAAGATTTCAAACATTCTGGACAAGCCGTTGGAGTCGGCGTTTGGTTATGTCAGTGTGCTCCCCGGCGCTTTCTCGGCCTACCGGTTCCGTGCCATCATGGGCCGTCCGTTGGAGCAGTACTTTCACGGCGATCACACGCTTTCTTCTCGGTTCGGGAAAAAGGGTATTGATGGGATGAATATTTTCAAGAAGAACATGTTCTTGGCTGAGGACCGTATCCTTTGTTTCGAGCTTGTTGCTAAGGCGGGTTCCAAGTGGCATTTGACATACGTTCGCTCGTCAAAAGGAGAGACAGACGTGCCGGAAGGAGCTGCAGAATTTATTTCTCAGCGTCGAAGATGGCTGAACGGCTCTTTCGCTGCTGGTATCTACTCGCTCATGCACTTTGGTCGCATGTACTCCAGCTCGCACAGCATCATTCGCATGTTCTTTTTCCATGTCCAATTAATCTATAACATTTTTTCGACCTTCATGAGTTGGTTCTCGATCGCTTCGTTTTGGCTCACAACATCTGTTATCATGGACCTTGTCGGTGATCCGACTGACGAGGATAAGGAAAGGGGGAAACACGCTTGGCCCTTTGGCGATACTGTTACGCCGGTCTTCAACGACATGTTGAAGTATATTTATCTTGCTTTCCTGGTTTTGCAATTTATCCTTGCTTTGGGCAATCGCCCGAAGGGATCCCGTCACAGCTATCTTTTGTCCTTCTACGTGTTCTCGATCCTTCAGTTTTATGTTCTCGTGCTCGCCTTCTACCTTGTCGCCCGTGCCTTTACGAACCAGGATTCCTGGTCGGATTTGAAGGCGGATTCGGTAGGGGAGTTTATCAAGCAGTTCTTTACTTCGAATACCGGTCTTATTATTCTGGCCCTGGTCTCAACTTATGGTATTTACATTGTCGCTTCGGTAATGTATCTCGATCCCTGGCACATGTTACACAGTTTCTGGCAGTACATAGTGATGGCCTCGTCGTACACCAATATTCTCAACGTTTATGCCTTCTGTAATTGGCATGACGTTTCTTGGGGTACCAAGGGATCCGACAAAGCTGAGGCACTGCCCTCAGCGAAGACCAAGGTTGAGGGTAAATCGAAGGTAATAGATGAGCCGGAGAAACCGCAGGCGGATATCGATCTAGCTTTCGAGGAAACTGTAAAACGTGCACTAGCACCCTTCACCGCCGAGGAGGAAGTTGAGAAAAAGAGCCTCGATGATTCATACAAGAGCTTCAGAACCCGATTGATCACCTTTTGGATTTTTAGTAATTGCACGGTAGTCATTCTGTTTACTTCAGAGAACTTTGACTGGTTCGGTGTTGATGTAAGCTCACCGCGACTTCTTATTTCATGCAATTTAGATGCTAACTTTATGCCGATAGTCTACCAAGCGAACAGCATGGTTCTTCCAGTTTGTCCTCCTCGCCACCGCCGCCTTGTCCCTCTTTAGGTTCGTTGGCTGTGTCTGGTTCCTGGGTCGTGCTTCCATCCTTTGCTGTTTCGCTAGGCGTTGATCATTCACGCATTCCTTCTCTTCGTCACATCTCATTAGTGCTCGGGTTCGGGGTTTTTTCTTGTTATTCTTTCTTTTTTCTTCCTCTGGCACGGTAGTAATGGGGGGCTGTCTGCGGGAAACGGGATTCCTTTTTCTTCCTCTTTTTTAGCGCTTTTTCTTTTGTTTCTGAAAGGCCACTGGTGAGTGTGGCTAATGAAGGGGATAAATTTGGCGATAGGCTGTATATACCATTGCATATCAAATGTGATTTTTTTTTTTACATTTCCGTGAGCCGCGTAGGTGTGTGCTCGTGAGGGTAGTAGTAGGGAATGGGACTTGTAAACACGAGTCATCACTCGAGGGTATGGAACTGTAAAGGGGGTAGAAGGAAGTGATGCGACACAATTGCAACAGCTTTTCTCAACATCACACCTCCACCTCCTCTCCCTTACTATAATACCAACTCTGTCCCTCATAGTCCTACAAATATTTTCTGGATATCAATATGCGGGTAAAAGGAATGCGCAGTAGTGAGCATAAGTAGTCTATTTAAATAAATGTACTGTACATATACAGTTAAGATAATAATAAAATAAAATTATCAAGTCATAGGTGTTCAAAATCTTGAGAAGCAGCTATCATTGATGAAGAAGAGGCAACGCTTCAAGTAAGAAATGACGTGCAATGCTTGGACCCATATTACTGCTCTCCAAGAAATAGCAGAATGGTCTCTCAGAAAGATAGCCGATGAATTGGAGAGTAAAATGGGCCTCAAAGTACATCACAGTACTTGTACTCACATCTACAACAGCTGTTAGGAAACAGGCAGTCCTTCCAACTACCAGCACATAGGAAGACCTCCAATCTTTCAAGAGGTTGATCTACTTGATCTAAAGTTTTTTATTATCTCCTGCTTATTTTATTTATTAATGGTTGTTGTGGAATACAGTAGTCTATAAGTTGATAATATCGATGTCCGGGGATTTGTGTTGTGCGAGTGTCGCGTTACTTTTTTCCACCCCCTGTACATTGAAGTAGGTTGTAGGAAGTGAATGATGACGCTAGATATTATATCAAGTGGTCTTGCTAAATTTGCTCTACCGAAATCTAATCTTAATCCCGACATAAAGATATACTAAATGTGACCTTAGCAGTTTAACTCCCATCTCGGCATACTCCTAGTTAGAATAGGAAGCCGCACATCTGACGACGATGTAACCCAAGCACCGGGGTATTTCCGGAGCGGGGACACCTTCCGACTACCTGCTGGCGAGTAGAGTGCTTGGGGGCATATAATTACTTTTTCTTCTTTCTTCTTTGGAATTGAGCGCTTCTCTAACGATGTTTCGCACCCCCTCCACCGCCTCCAAGGGGGGAGGGGGGGAGGGAGTTTTGCTTTTTGTAAAACGGTACTGTGAAAGCTGGATCAGTTGCTATATTAACTGCACGGAAGCAGGTCGACGTCTTTCTTACCATTATGTACCCCTAGGTTCGCATGGCTTGAAGGGTGAATACACCATACGCCTCCTACCCCACCCCCGCTTCGCATTTCCGCACTGCTCGGTAATTTCAGCGGTATCCAGATTATCCCTGATGTATAAGGGTTTCCACTCGCAGTGGTTAGTGGATGTGCCGGTCGTGTATTGATTAATCTCCACTTACATTTTTTTTTCCCCTTGCCCGATTATCTTCCCCAACAAGCAAGCCAGCTGGCCGGACCAGCCGGCAGCGGCAAATCTTGTTGGTACCTTCATCACGTTCGGCATTCACGACAACAGGGATTAAACGATTGGCGGTGCGGTTGACGGCATACTGGCCTACCAGTGCCGACTCAACGCCACCTCGCCAGTGAGCCCAGGCCTCGGATGTGCTAGAGATGGTGGGATGATGAGAGTGTGATAGGTCTGCAGGGTCACCGCCTATATACTTTTTATCTGGTGTCTGCTGCTGGCTGATTTGTGGGGATAGCACCCCCACCTAGCACTGGCATTTGTGGTGGTTGATGTGTTGGGGTTTTGCTTTGGGTTTTTGTGTGAATATGGTGGGAAAACGGAGAATGTAAGCCCCCCCCTCTGAGTGAAGAGTTGCAGGAGTTTGAGTGTGGAGGATTTGGGATGAAAGTGAGGGAGAGGGGTAGGTGCAGGGGAGAGGGGGGAGAAAGAGGTGAGGGAAATAATAGAGAGGGCGGAAGGAGAGGGAGATAGAGAGAGTGGAGATAGGAGGAGAAAGACGATAGAGGTTAGGAGGATGAAGGGAAAGTACAGGTGGGTGGAGTAGACGTATTGGACCGATTTGTGGCCCTGGAGAGTTATGCGCCAAAGTAGTGACTTTCCACTAATAGCCGGTTCCCCTCCTATTTCGCTGTCGCTCATAGTCGGGAAAAGCAAGTGTGACGCTCAAGCAAGTGTGACGCCCCAGACTTTTTTTTTTTTCCCAGTAGAAAGTCCCCTAACCCACCCGGCAACGCTGACCTCCCGTAACAACAATCACCCCAAGTAGAGAGATCCGTACCAGCAATACCAATCACCCTTGAACAATAGTAATCGTCTCTGACTCTGACGGCCAGCTATAGACCAAAACCTCGATTACCGCTGGAGCCAGTCGCTGCAAGTGCGACAGATGTAATTGATCCTCAATTACTTGCCCTAGGTGGTGGGGCTGGTGAGTTTGAAATTTTTACTACAAGGCAATAATTGGAACAGGCTAGCATAGAAAATACGGATACTGGGAATGATGGTGAGAATTCTGAAAGTGAATCTGATTCAGATTCTTGTGTATCAGGTGATTCTATCACAAGAAATGCCAACTTTGTAGCTTTTAACTGAGACTTTGTAGCCTACAGGACAATAGAGGTATATTACTAAAAGCAAGTATTTTCTAAGCTTATCTAGTTAAAAATAAAAAAGGTCCAGCATGTAACACTTGCATGAGCATTATTAAATAGTAGTAGAACTAGCTACTATGACTTGGGAGTGATTGTTGTTACGGGAGGTCAGCATTGCTGGGTGGGTTAGGGGACTTTCTACTGGGAAAAAAAAAAAAGTCTGGGGCGTCACACTTGCTTGAGCGTCACACTTGCTTTTCCCGACTATGAGCGACAGCGAAATAGGAGGGGAACCGGCTATTACTTTGCGGTAGTAGGGGAATAGAGGAGATGGCAGTGAGAGAGGAAGAAACGTGGGATTGTGTAGAGAAGGAAGGGAAGCCAATAAAGGCGTGGTTAGAGAGATCATGTGTTGTGCTGGTCAAGTGAGAGGATGGTTGATGAGGAAAGAGGTGGGGAGGCTCCTTTATATTGACAGACCGGGATCGTCTCGGCACTTTCTACCACACAGAAGGGGAAATTGTCCTCCGAGTTCAGAAGGTGATTAAGGATTTAGGGTAAGAAGAAAAAAAATAAAGGGTATCAACCGTCGTCGTGGTGATAGAGAATCATGTACTATCACTCGGGAAAAATACTATTCGAAAGCTCAGTTTATGGTAAGCTACCACACGATACGATACAGCACGACAAACCGACAGGGGCACCGTTGGCCAAGTCATCGCAGAGAAATCTTTGGATCATAGTACTCGCGGGTCTCTGCCCGAGTTCCCACCAAGCGTTTGGCTCGGGGAAGGCATCCTTGGCGAAGAATCTTTCGGGCATCGCTTTCTGATTTCCGGAAACGTGATAAGTTTCGTCTATTCTTCAACTTTCTCAATCCGTTTTTTTTGCCTTCGGAGGGAGGTTGAGTTCATAGAAGTTGTATTGAAGTAAAAAAAAAAATAGGTTGGAAACCCCTCAACCTACTCTGGACCCGTAGGTGGTGAGAGGCAAAAGCGGCGGTAAGGTCAAGCTGGTTGTACCATTACAGAGAGTATACGGAGGTCTTGAAGAAAGTATTGCATAATTATATTGCGATGCAAGTAAGTTGATTACCGAAATTATGATATATGGGAAAGAGAGAGATGGTTTTTAGTTACTTTACTACCAGAATCTCCTTACAGGTGAGGAGGTAGTGAAATTATAGGACTTTCAGAGCACTCTGAGAATCTACAATTAGTTAAGTCACAGATCGATATCGCAATAGTGTGCTGAAATTAAACTACTGCTACAATAATTACACCTTGAAGTGAGATGGGTGAAAATATCCTCCTCCATATGAGAACTCTCACTTTCTCTTTGCTACTGTGTCAGCAATAGTTTAGTTTGATCTAATACAAATTAGATTCAAATCGATATTATGTGTTTACATGTTGACCCTATCGAACAGTACAAGCAAGAAGATTGTAAATATCTATTTCCATTATCATCAAATTTATAGATTAGCTTCTACTTCCAGTACATGTCATAACATTCTTAATATATGATACAATTTCCTCATCCATGATCTTGGGCGATTAAAATATAGACATATTAGGACAACTGAACATAGCAACCAAGAAATTTATTTCAGAAACTAATATTTAGACCTCAAAGATATCAAGATACCACGAGGCTAAAGAGCAATAAATTTGAGGTGATAAGTAACTTGAAAATGAGGTTGGAAAATAATTAAAATGAGTAATAATATGTAATAAAACTTTGGCGAATTAAATGATAATAAAAGAGAGTCAAGCAAGTAAAAAGAATGCAAAGCCAATATAGTAAGGAGTAAAAAAAATCAGTGACCAAGTTGTGAGTACTAGTATCTAAAGCTCTAAACTGCTGAGATATTGTATGCCCTTATGGCTACAGAATACCTTTATTGATACCACAATTCTGTTTTCCTTTTTGCGGAAAATAGCAATTGAGAGTGTTGGTCGTGTTGATGCGGGATGGCGCTCGAAGTACAAAAGTGTGCAATGGGCTGAATAGGGGCTATGGAGTTGATGGTGGAGATCCCGGAGGTGATCGAGTTATTGGTGGAGGGCTCTAGGGACTGGGGGTCTTGATGATATCTGTCTTTTGTTATGGGGGGTCGCAGGAAATGTTATTTCCTTTGTTATTTGTTCGAAGGTTACGGAGGACCAAAGAGTTCAGTAGTGATCGAGAAGGAGATAGTTTTGGAGTGTCTTATCTTTCACTATGATTAGCTGTCTTTTCAAGATATATTAGATGGGGAGAACCTTAAGAGCAACCGCAATCGTCTTGCTATCTTGTCCGGACGGGTGATCTCTCATCCACACCCCGCCTGTTGCTCGCACTCAATACCGCTGACGGGTCGGGCCTTGTTAGGATAGGCGTTGGTTTTCCTGGGAGGATACCGGAACTTCGGGGGGCACAAGCAGCAAAGAAGGAGATTGAGGGAGCTCGGATGGTT